CACCATCTTCCATGTGGTGTTGTTGTTCTTCTGTGCTGTTAGACGTTGTTCTTGTTCAACGGCAGACTAGAACACCTGTAAAGGCCAAATCGTAGTTTCTGCGTTTGCGTGTTCGTAAGGGTCTGTTTTGTCTGTGTGACGTAAATGTTGTCATCCACTCATGTCCACGAGGGTCTGCACAGACCCTTGTCAGACATGCAGTCCATTTTTTGTGACAGTGCGGACTGTTTGCATAGCAATAGCGCTGACTGCATATGCTCCAATCTCTTGTTCCACAGTCCAGTTCAGAACACTGCAGCCAAACCAGCTACAGCCGCTGCTCCCGAGTTTAAGTCAGTTTTACCTTTATATCTGACAGACATTCACTCCAGACCCAGCAGCGGCTTCTTTGTTTAAGCTCTCCCGTTTACTGCTGGTGGCTGACATGGACCGTCACTTGTACTATGAATAGAACTGCGTGCGTGTCCACGTGACCACAGCTGTCTGCGGACGTTAAATGCAGAAAGTATATCTGAGCTTTAAGTGCAGAAGCAGAAGAGTTGCATCCCCAGTACCTATGGTACTGGAGAGAAACGAGTACCATCACGTTTTCTGACATTTGGCATCATCTTGGTTCCAAAGTATTGGTTCTCGTGACATCCCTAGTCGCCCATATACTTCAACAACATAATAGAATTCCTGAAATTCAGTTAGAGTTTCTGGTTTTGGTGTGCCACCCCAGGGTTTTCAGTGGCCCCATCTGAACACCCTTAAAACATTTGTGGGGACACCACTGAATCAAGACAGTGACAAACTTTTTAGTACAGCTCTCCAAGCCTGGAAGCAGTGAGTATATGATATGGTTACTTTTTTTCTTTAACTGGGGATCAAGGGTAATGAATCTGGTATTTTTAATAGAAGACTATAATTTCTTATCTCAACACACTGTCTTATTTTTGTGTCCTTTGTTATAGTGAAAGACTATCACATGCCCTGTGAAGAGGCTCTTGCTTTGTTATTGCTCTTTCATTGCCTCCCTCCCCTCTGCATCTAAAATCTGATACAAGAGCTTTTCAGTTTTAAGTGCTATTCATTACAGCCCACTGAAAATAGCACTCATCCGTGCCCTCTGAAGAGAGAAAGACTTTTCAGTTTTCTGTCCCCGTGCCTCTTTTTCAGAATCTGTGCTTTTACTGGCAGGTCTTCTCACCAGACCAGCGGACTATAAATATGACCCCTCTGAATGCCCACATCCTTGCCCCTAAAATAAATCATGTGCCTTTCAGTTGGAGCAGACACACGGCACCTACCAGGACAGTCCCGTCTGTCTACACAAGCTGCAAAGGAAAAGTTCTCAGATCACAATCTACCAACACACACACACACACACTTAGGGACACCCACAGACAACAGAGGAGAGTGATCCTCTGAAGTACCCTGGGAACGAAGCACTGCTGGCTCACCTCAGGGCTCAGAATAACTGGATGCCAGCTCTGGCCCAATGCAGGCTTTGCCTTGCCTGTCACTCCTCTCGCTGCTGGCTGGCCCAGTTTGCTGTAACAGAGAATAGGAGCCAGTGTGGGGACCAGGGGGACTGGAGCTCATCAGAGGGGTTGACTCAGTCCTGCCTACTCCCTCAACGCTGTGGGTCTGGCACTCTGCGCAGGTGGAAAACGGAAGAGGGTGAGTGGGTAATCACGAGGGTGTTGGCCCCATTCTGCCCACACAAAAAAAAGCACAACCCACAACTATGGGCCCTCTTACCAGCCTGTCGTGTGTGGTTTTTTGAGACTGTCATCACAGACATTCAGCAATGAGAAACACAGACGGGGAGGAAGAGGAAAGAGAATTCAAGAAAGCGGGACTTGTGCCCACTGAAGTCAAGTAAATATGGGCTGAAAGCTCAGAGAAGAGGCAAAGACCTTCAGAGGGAAGAAGTGTTTGGGTTTCATGGCGGACCAAAACTTATTCTGAGACTACAAAGTAGTGAGCAAATTTAATGTGTCAGCGTGGTTAACTAAATATGAACAAATATAGTTCGTCTGTTTACCTCTGCATCTTCGCTGGTATGTGTACCCAAATGGAGAGTGAGCAAACACCAAAACCGACTAACACACAAACCGACTCACACGGAGGAAACAGGTAGACAAATTCATTTTGACGCAAATCGCCCTTGACTTTTGCCAATCTGTCAAGAAGCCTCACCCTTCCCAGGCATTATCCGCACCGTGATATTCTTTCCTTCCGTCTTTAGAGGGACGTCAGTGTGATGAGCGTCTAAGCTGGAAACGGGCTGCAGTTGTTTTCTTTGCAAAAACACCTGTCTAAACAGCAGCAAAGCCAAGGGCAAGTCTCGCCTGTCAGCGTCGGTGACAGCTCTTGACAAAAATTCAGCTGAGACAATTCCTAAGACGTCCACTCAAGCGAAACAATGCACGTGTGCTGGAATGACCCCAGCTGGGCCGCCTCGCTCCTCTTTGAGTTTCAGTGTTGTTTGTAGGAGCTCTGCAGCAGACAGACGGCCAACAACACCTGGGAGAAGGTAAAATGCGAGACATTCCCGTAAAGATACAGTCTTTGTTTTGTTTGTCTCTGTGGTTTCAAATGCACTTAATCCTTCTGAATACACCGGCGGTTTCAGTGACATTGACTCAGCAAAATAATAAAAGAAAAACCCTCTTACAGTTGTGTGACAGCAACAAAAGGCCGGACTATTTAAGTGATTAATTAATACAGCTTACAACCATTTATAAAGCCGTTTGTATCATCTGTCCGGAGTGGATTTAGGGGCTGTTTCAGTGAAGATTTACTGAACAAAGACCAGGTGGCTCATTAGCTACCAGAGACTTAGCTTGGTTTGTATAGAGGGGGATCTCTGGGGTGGTCAAGTTTCAGTCCTTATGCTTAAATTTCAACACATGGATTCTTAATCTGCAATGCCCTCATCAGCTATAGTCCAGTTCCCATCATCTGCCGCTCATATGAGCACCTCCGGGGCCTGTTCCTCTTGGTTTGTGTTAGGGTGAAAAATTGCAATGAAACTAAGACTCGAATGTGGTAACAAGCTGACAAAAGCTGAGTGATGAGAAGGCCTGTGCACATTCACACAGCTCAGCTTTTGGTAAAACTATACTACTCAAACTAACTTCATTTACGGTTACGGGTCAACACATTAAATTTTAATACCATTAGGGACAAAATGGCCTGGAATTATTTATTATATCACATTTTATTACTTCCCAGCAGTATACAGTGGAGTGTTTTTGGGTGTATAATGTCTCCAGCGAACCCACAATGGCATAAAAACATTTATTTATAATCAGCTTTACTGCCTACAGCAAAAATATGTCAGACTTGTGTAAAGACTTTTTAATGTTTAAAATGCCCATTGTATTGGATTCAGTGGCATCTGGCGATGAGGTTGCAGATGAAACTTCCAACACATTCTCACTCTGACCTTGTCTCACATCGACGTTTGATCATGGACTTTCCACGTCCACATACCGTGTGAAAGGTACCCTGGGTGTGTTGTTGACGTTCTTGGACACCGTGTCAAGTTCTGCCTGTTACATGCATTGTCTTCTTTCAAAATACACTTCTGTTTTCACAGGAAATTTAACATTTACATACAGTTTCTTTCAAAATAAACGCACTACGTCGGTACAACACCGTGAATTTCCTTCTTTTTTTTTTTTTTTTTCCCTTCAACAACAAAAACACGTGGTTAGGTTTAGGAAAAAGAACAGGGTTTGGCTTTATAATCTCATGGGACATGAACACCGCTCTCTCCGATGAAGGTCAATGTTTTTTGGACCCATCCACCACCCCTCCTGCCTGCCCCAGTTGGACTTTCGCTACTTTAACTTTCATCCTTGTCCCGCCGTGTTTCCCCCTGATGCCACAGAGCGCCATTAAACAGCAACTGGCAGCATATCATGCCAACGTTAAAGGACACATTTTTTGTTAGTTTCTGACGCCCCAAGTCACTGCCCAAGTGCTGGGTTTTGACGACTTCTGAAAGAGACCGTGCTCAAACTTCTCCCATGTGCCAAGCATGTAGGAGAACTACAGTGGTCGCCACAAAAGGCAAATGGCTCTATCTAGAGCCAGTGTTTGGTTTGTCCATTCTGGGCAACTGTAGAAACATGTGGGCTACTGTAGAAATGTGGTGGAACATGGCAGTCTCTGTGAAGAGGCTCCACTGCATTTGTTGATATCAACACCTCAGTCAAAGGCCTGGGTTGGCAACCTTTACAAGTAAAAGAGCCATTTTTGGCCAAAAAAAAAAGGAAAAATGTGTCTGTACCCACAAAACATACTATAAGCCTTATAATGTAAGTAAAACAGTCTATTAAGTATTTGCCTATTAACATTACTAATAGGTCTAAATGAGCATTCTTTGATATGTTTTACTACAAGGTGGCTCCTCTGCAGTGGCCTATTTATAATTATTTGGTACTTTAACTTTGCAGCATTAGCGGTGAATGCAAAAAAAAATCTGTCTATACACTATTAAATTCTCAGAGACGTTTCGTTTTTTGGATTTGGAATCCATAGCCAAGTTCAGAGAGGGAAACTTAAGACAAGGCACTACTGTTTAGGTTTTGCAAAAGTTCTAGGAAAAGGTGCCAGGTCGTAGAATTTGTAAATTAAAATGTAAAAAAAAAAAAAAAAAAGTTATTAATTTCCATACAATTTTTTGTGAAAGCCACAGGGAGCCACTGGAGTGGGGCTTAAGAGCCGCATATGACTCAGAAGCCACAGGTTACCTACCCCTGGTGTAAGGTAATGAAAACATGATTCTTATTTTCTGTTGCTTATACACTACAGAAAAAATACTCGTTATATTTAGTTCTTGCTAATATTTCCCCCTAAATCCTACACACTGAACCACTTATTTGAAGAAACAATTTTCAATGCTTTTTAAGACTTTTCAGCACCTGCAGATTCATATAAAGCAATTACATCACAAAAACATCACAAATTCTGTATTCATAGATGCACTACACAAAGAATTCCTGGTTTGCCATGTTCCATTTTTATTTAGAAACACAAAACTGCGTCACTGTTTATGTCAACTAAACATTCACTTTAACCTGTACATTCTTAATTTTTTAAAGCATACATTTTGTTTACATGTTCAGGATTTACAGGATGTGTTCTGATCATTTCTAATCCATGAAAGCAGCTTTGAAATGCAGCTTTTATTGTACAAATACATATTTTACACATATGGCGGACATTTCTGTCGGTGAACGACACATTAAAACATGCCAACACAAACCATCATGTAAAAACTACTGTGACAAAACTGGTTAAACGTACAATATCTCAGTTGTCTCTAAGAATACACATACTGACAAACAGGCTATTAAAATGAAGATCCTATGAGGCATTTCATGCGACATAGCCATTCTTCAATGCAAACTTCTGTTCTAGAACGGACAGCTGAATAAGGCTATGTAGAGACCTCTAATAAAATGTTGTATATTTCAGCTCAGCTCACGCTCAGCTCGACACTCGGGTACTTCCTGAGTCATATTTACCAACCTTCATCAACACTTTATCAACACAGCATCTGAGTTGCCATGAACAGGATGAACCCGGGAATGTTACACAGTGTGAAAATGTAAAGCTGTATGATCACAATGTAATGTGGACCCTGCACAAAACATCTGGAGAACAGAGATGCTATTTCATGATTTGGATATTATCTGAATAATAAAGAATATAAAATGTAAATATTGATTTAAGATTGTAAATTTATATTTTCCTATGTAAAATAACACAGTACACAGTTGACGTCACAGCACTGCTGGTGCAAGCCCCTAATTGGCAAATTGAAAACAGATTCATTTCAGTCCACTACAGCTTTTTTTAATGCCTATCTGTTCAACTGAGGAGCACCACAGACGCATAAAAGAGCATTTGGTTTCAACTCCCTGTTTAAGTCTTACAACAAATTCACTTTGCAGAGGTGGATCTGACAGGTGTTGATGGTCCTTACAAATACACTGCAGCATATCTACTTATTTAAATGTCTCTAATATCACGGACAGAGGAAAATATACTGATATATAAAAATATTCCAATTATTGATTTCAGTTTTAAACATCCAGCCTCATTCTAATACGTAAAAGTCTTATTTTTATATTTTTTAAGGTGAATCATAGAAATAACATGATAGCTGCGTGTAAACTTGGAAAAAAAAAAAATAACGGAGTTCCCGCTTCCTTTTTGGTAAACCACCAAAGAAATCATTCTTGCTAAATATCCGAACTACAGGCCAAGGCCTCGAAAACCACACGGTCTGTTCTTCATCTCACCCGTGCGACTCACACACAGAAATACAGAGAACACACTCTAACACATTTCATCCAGTCACCCCACAAACCCAAGAAGAGGAATACTGACCGAAGGCAATTTTACATCTTGAAGAGTGACACTGTGTGTGTGTGTGTGTGTGTGTGTGTGTGTGTGTGCGTGTCTGTGTGTTTGCTGGAGAGAGGGTCACTGCAACACACACATGGAGCTGCGAGGGGGGTTGACTGTCCTGGCCACGGTGTCCTGACTGTAGTTCACGATGTCTGCCTTCACCACACGCTGAAATGATGCAAAGACAGATAAACACACACAAAGTTAATAAGCTAAGAGTCAAAGCATCACAATGTTAAATTTTAAACAAGTTATTTAAAAAGAAAAAGATCTAGTAACATCCCTTGAGGTTACCGATAAAATTGTGTCCACCACATTAAACAGCTTTACAAAGACTTGCAGTGAAATAAACACTGCAATTTAAAAAAACTGACTTTATGACAGGAATAGTTCAGGTAAAGACATAATGTGAAATACATGTCTTCACTTTATAGCCAACAGTTAGACGAGAGGATCGATGCCACTCCCGTGTCTGTACAATAAATATGAAGCTACAGCTGTTGCCGGTTAGCTTAGCTTAGCACAAATACTGGAAACGATGGAAACGGCTAACCCTTTTTAAGGGGTTTTTAACTTCCAGGCTATTTAATAATAATAATAATAATAATAATAATAATTATAATAAATTTTATTTGAAGGTGCCTTTCTTGGCACTCAAGGACACCGTACAGATACACAAAATGACATTAAAAAAATAAATAAATCTTGGCCAGTGACCTGTCACTATCATGAGGTTGCAGGGTAACTAAAGCCCCTTTCCCACTGCACAAAAAATCCCCACTAACACCCGCTAACATCTGGCTTTTGTATGTAATGGGAAAGGTTTCATTGGCCTGGGTCAAATGAGTCTGCTGCAGTCACAGGTATTTATCGGCTCTGGCTCTGATCGGCAGTGATGGAAATACAACACCCACATAAACGGTGTAATTTAAGCCCCTTTACTGATGCGATTTAATGACATGCCACCACAAAATACCGCCCGTCTCTGCACCCCAGCACTTGAACATCGATCCAAATTAATCGGCACTGAGTTTGAAAAGTGGACTAAATAAGTAAGAGATATATTTAAAAAAAAAAGAAACCACTGTGACATTTTCATTGGCCACCATGCTGCTTTCTACTGTTTACTAACCTGTTTTCCAGCGCATCATGATGGAAAATAGGTTAGTTAAAAATTAGAAAGCCGCATAGAGGACCATGACACACCAGTCAAAAAAGAGAAAGGCAGGCTTGTCTGCTGCAGAGCCATGTACACAGCTCTAGGTCTGCAAGCAATGTGGAAGGAGTCTATCACTTATTTTTAGCAGGTTTTCTCATGTTTAAAAATCGTGCTAATTTTGGTGGACAAAGGGTATGACAAAGACTTCAGGACTTCTAGCTGTAGCTTCAAGTGAAGGTGCACAGACATGAGAGTGACATCGACCTTCTCATCCAACTCATGGCAATAAAGCAGATAAACAAACTATTCCTGTAACATTTCACATGGCTCAAAATCCATAGTCAGAATATTTGTGTACCCCCAGCCAGTCAGGAGGCTTCTCTGTTATCATCATGAAGACTTTTCTCACTACATCACTGTCAAACAATTTAGAAAAACACACAAAAGTTAGATTTCTAAGACAGTTTAGCAAAATACTGTCAACTCTATGATAACACAACATAACAGAGGAGGTGTGATTAGGGTCTATTAGTCTGACGGGTTTCTTTACTTCTTCTAGAACTCTAATCTGAACCACAGGCACCAAATACATCCACCATGACTGCAATATTTACTACAACTACAAGGCAACTGTTGCCCTCTAAGACCTACTGAAATATACCAGTGTAAACTGTGGAGACATACTTCCAACTATTGAACAGAACATATTTTGCTTTGCTGGTTGTTGTCTTGTCTAATTGGGCCTTCATCCTGAGGGTAGTCCACGAGCTCAGCCTTCACAATCCTCTGAGCACGTTCAACACGTCAGAGCAGTGGAGAGATGGAGGAAAGCAAAAGGACAACAGAAAAGACAAGGACAGAGACATGGGGTGAGAGTGAGAAGAATGGAGACCAAAGCCAAGTAGACAGAGGACAATGAACAGCAGAGGAGAAATGAAGTGAGAAATGAACAAGAACTGTGAGACATAAACAAAAAAAGAATTACACTATGAAAAGTGACATCAGTGTGCAGCGACAGAAATCAAAGCTGAGCCAACAATGTAAAAGTGAAATAACCTTTAAAACCAGAATAACTTACTTGACTTTTCTAATTGGAAATTAAACCATGACCCAAAAATCTTACATTGATCTTGAGAAAATAAAAGGTATAAACCGCAAAACTCACCTCTGACAAGCAGAATCCAGAAACTGTTTGCCATTTTTGCTTTATATATATTTTAAAAGATTATTAGATTGTCAAAATTGTTGTCATTTTATGTTAATCAACTAATCTTTTTGGCACTACAGTAAATTGTCGACATTACATAGTATGGCTTGTAGTGTGGCTTTCCTGTTATGAGCCATGAAGAAATGATCATTGGTAGAGGATAAATTTAGGTGTAGCTAGGCCTTAAAGTTACTTAACTTAAAGGTTATGCCTGGTGTAAATCCAACACTCATTTCTCATTAGTACAGAGTTCTAATTTTATGATTGGGATATAAACCAAGCTGTATTTGTTCCTCTGACCGATGTGTGATGTCTATCTGTGTGTTCCAATACCCATGCTACCATACTGTATAGCATGCCAGAAAAAGATTTAGTATGTCCCAATACATAGTATGTCAAATGCAGTATGCAAAAAATACCAGAATGTTACTACTACATCCAGTCCGATTTTGCAGTATGCAAGCCGGCATGCTTTTCTGGCTATTCTGACCCACAGTCTACTGCACTGCAGATGATGCAACATATCGACAGAAGTCCCCATGACGGATGACAGCGCATTCAAGTAACATTCAGTCGAATAGTAATAATGGGAATAGTGATTGTTAAAGTGAACAAAATAATCATAAATATCACACACAACAAAAAGACATAACTATGGAAATAACAACCACAGAGAACTACAGATGTAAATTCACTGTCACAAATATAATATGTTGCCGTCTACAATCTGTGCAGTTCTAACTTTAAAATTAAACTACACACATTGCAAAGTGACAACAGCAGATCTCTCCGGGTTGATCTCCATCTCTGGCGTTAAATGGTGTTTCTTTTTTATCTCCAAAGTAATGGATATAAAAGCAAGAGAATCAAAGTTCAGGGTGTAACATTATGAGAAAGTAGTATGTCCCAACTGTGTGCATACTACATGCAACAGTGCATACTTTTTAAGGGCAGCTGCAGTACCTACTAAAAGTGAAAAGAAAAAGTATGCGATTCGGAATGCACCCTATTTTATTAAAATCTTGACACCTTGTGGAGCATTTTGAAACTCTACGTGTCAGCTGTTGAATTTTAGGAATACATAAGCCGGGCCTTCAAGTTCAAACTAGCCTAGATTTGGTCTTAACGTTCAACAGGGGGTTCAACAAGCTGTTGGACCCCATCACCAGTGAAGAACAGACCACATGGCTGAGCAGCAGGCCCTGGTTGGCTGTCTGATTAACGAGCTGCCGAAGCCCGGTGTCGGAGTCAGTGAGTGATCCGTGGCCTTGCTATCTGATCCACCAGACAGAGGACCATGACGGAGAGGGCTGCCAGGCAGATATAATACTGTCAGGGGTCGTGACCCTCGTGTTCAGCTCTCTGAAGCTGACAGCTGATAATGAGGCCTCGCCGGCCCCACGGCTAGACCCAGAGCCGTGACCTGCTCAGAGCCTCACCTCTGTATCCACGACATAAACTCACTGTGTCATTCCTTCACATCGCCAACAATAACGTTATGTATTTTAATGTCTTTTAAGAATGTGTTCTTTTTTTTCTGCATGGGAAAACTGATTACGTAGAATTTATTTCTGTAAATGGAACTGTAACTGAAACGATTGGACAGAAATTCAGTTTAATGCCAAACATTCCACAGTTTCTACTTCCTACATGTGAAGATTTTGCTCCATTTTACACTGAATATCTATGAGTTTTGGACTGTTGCTCATACATCACCATGGTCTCTGGGAATTTGTGATCAGCATTCCTTTTTTTTAAAATACTATTTTCTGACATTTCACCACCAAAACGACTAATTAACTGATAAAATAATTGTTGGATTGAACGACAATGTAATACTTGGTTGCAGCCGTAGACCAAACCAGCAGTCATTCAGTGAGTACTGATTCAGCAAGTTCTCAGAGTTTGCAAACAAAATTACTGTCCTTGATTAAGAGCCAGACAGTCCTTATGTTTTAGAGTCCTTGGAACTTCAACTTTTTTGGGGGGGTAACTAAAATATATTGATGAGGGTCTCTACCACTGTCATGAAAATTAAATAGTGCCAGCTAATCACATTTTACCAGTGTGTAGGCATATCCATTAGGAGTGAGAATTGGGAGTCCCAAGTCTAGATGGGCAAGTCTCGAGTCAAAACCCAAGTCCTAAACTTTAAGTTTCAAGTCCTAAACGAGTCATAATCCACTCTTCACCAAGTGTAATGCCATTTTAACAACATAGTGTTAATATATTTAGTTTAAAAAGATCATGACTGCTTTTTAAAATTTGTAATTATTTGTTAAAACAAATTTGTTAGAAATGGTTGCGTCAAGACTTTTTTGATTTTGTCAAGATAGGTCAAAGGTCTTCAAATTCAGACATGAGTCTGACTCGAGTCCAAATCATATCAAACAAGTCCACACCTCTTGTACGAGTCCATTAGAAACTGTTCCCGTGTTTTTCTTCCTTATTCTGCTTTGAGCTCTGGCCACTATAATGAGATCATTACCTCACTGTTACAATTATGTCCTTATTCTTGAAACATCACAAGAATCAGAAGTTTATATATATGCATATAGCGCTTTAAAAAAACACTCCAGAAGTCATGTTTTGTTTGTTTCTGTCAACTTGTCAGCCTTTTTGGTTCGAGCCCTCAGCCTGCTTGTTAAGCCTGGATTAAAGCACTTTGCTTTATTGACAGAGCTATCACAGGGAGGGCAGGAAGAGGAAAGTAGATTGACAGCTCCATTAGTCGATGGTCATTTTCAGTTAGTCAGCAGCGGTGTTGGTGATGGGAGAGGGGCTTGAGAATTTGGCCAGTCCTTTCCTGACATGCTCTCCCTTCACTGAGGGTCCTGACCTCTCTGTAGCCTCCAGGCTCATCAACCACTACCCAGCCAGTGTGGCTCCAACCGGTCATATCAGACCCAGGATTAATGCTTCTGTGGGAGGTGACCTTGTAAATCCTACAGCTGCCACCACTGGGCACCTCGGTCTGGCTGGCAAGCTGAGACCCTGTTTTAGCACCAAAACGGTGGGAGATAAACCAAATAAATCAGACAGCCACTCCTAACCTCCTCACCCCTACGACGGCCTACTTTTAACCTCAGACTTCACGCGTTAATGTGCTCAATGTGGGTCTATTTACAGATGGCCAGTGTCAGTGGCAGGTAGAACATCACAGGAGGCAGATGTAACAAACTCATGTTTACACAACAAAAGGTCCTTTACAGTGTGTGGTGACCTCCATTGACCTCACACACTCACTGTGACCTCCCTTAAGTTCAGGCATTGCATTACACGTAATGTTAGGAGAGAGGAAGCAGAACCAAATCACCAGCTACTTTCACTATTTTACCAATCAGCTATACATTTAAAGGAATACTCAACCCACAAAATAACTATTTGTACATCAATTACTCGCCCGCGTTACATTGAATTTGTAAAGAAAACTTCATTTTCCTTACACGTCTCCATGATGAACAAAGAATCCAAAACCAGAGAATATTCTTGATGAATTGGAGTAAAAAGGGGACGTAGTTATTAACTTCCGTTTACGAACTCTCACACAACTCATGCAGTATAATCCAAGTCTCATTAGCCAGTCGTACGTTCAGTACTATTAAAAACACTTACACATACAAGTAGGTCACCTGGGCAAACGTGGAAGTACTGAGTATCACAGTCCTGCATTGGGCTTGGTACCCAGAGATACCCGGCAGGTGATTGCATTTTGTCTTAATTGTATTTTTTGGTAAAGTTCTGGTTGAAAAAACAACATTTGGTTTGGATTGGGGTTGCTGGATGATAAATTTCTTAAAATAAAATGAGAAGAAGAAGAAGAAGAAGAAGAAGAAGAAGATTTAATGTTCTGATGTTTTAATCCTCTGACTGCTGACTTTGTGTGCTGGATCTGTCTTCTGTGACAGCTGGAATATGAAAGCTGCTTCAATCAGGTACATTACTGACAGACACATTAACTGTGGAGATGTGCTGCTCAATATCATGAGAATAAGCAAAAAATATCTTAGTTTCACATGTATGAAATGTCCCTAAATGATCACTTTAAACATGCTGCCTAACATAATTATTTCAACATTGCATGGTTATTATGAGGTTTGCGGTCTTGGGTCAGGCCGTGGATCTTGGGTTGGCCAGGTTGGGTTGTAGAACGAATTGGTGCGCCGGTGTGGTGTTGCATGCCACGGTTGTGGTTTTGGAGCAGATATTGAAAATCAGACCAGTGGTTTTGGAGCAGATATTGAAAATCAGACCAGTGCAGGACTTTGAAGAGCATTGAGTTGAGATTGAGATAAATGAGTTGTGTCAGAGTTTGTATATGGATGTTTCGATATAACTTTGCTGTTAAACGTGGCTCCATATGACTTCAACTCATCAAGAATTTTCTCAGTTTTTGGATTCTTCATTCACTGTGGAGGCATGTGTGGTAAAACAAAGCTTTCTTCACGAATTCAATGCAACACAGGTTGAGTAATTGATATGAAAATGGTCATTTTGTGGATAAAGTATCTCTGAACAGTGACTGGTTAAGTGCAAAGCTGAGAAAAAAGTGTATAGTTTCTATCCTAGTTAGGAGCAAATAAACCATTTAAAATGTGGCTTGAGAGGCAGCTGCATAGAAATTTTGATGACATCTGAGAGAGTCGTTGATGCCCTTATGGCTCACCTGGGACTGCTCTATTTCTGCTTTGTTTAGCTTTACACCAAGAATCTCAGCAGCCACTCTCTGGAAACAAAGGTACACCTGGAGAAAGAGATGACAAGAAAACCAGGACAAGTTGAGTTATCAAAGTCACACATTTTAATTGTGACTCAATGAATCAGCTGGTACTAACCGAGTCCCCCGTCTTGGCTGATACGAACTGACTGATGAGGCTGTTCTCTTGGCAGAAACGCTGGTGTTTGTCAGCTTTCACTGTCCTCATGTGCTCCAGGTCGACTGTGGACGAAACACAGCGTGACGTGAGAAAACTTACGAAAGATAGATAGATTTATAAAGTGGTTATACAGCACTCTCGCAGGGTTAACTGTCACGTATCTGAACATAAACAGAAAAGATAACTGTTTACACTTGAGTTAAGATGGAGGGGGATCTGCCTAGTGTAAAATAATAGGCATGTGAATACAAAGCATAATTCAGTTGTTATGTTGCTTTCAAACCCAGCTGCTGGTTTTATTTTTTAATTTATGGAGAGAGTCATTTTAGGGGGTTCGAGAGTAGAAATGATCAATTCAGTGGCCCCGAGCGTTCATTCCCAGCTGGTACTAAAGCTTGATGTGACACATTCCTCAGTGTAAGCCTAGTACAGTTGGACCCCGAAGCCATGAACCTCTGTTTGACCTGAAACAGACAAACCAGCCCAGCTGTGGAGAACTGCTTAAGAAACAATGCGTGGATGACCGAAGTCTTCAGGCTACACTCGCAGTGAGAGCCTAGATGGAGAAAACAGTTTGACTTATGAGTGTGCCGGCCTCTTAAGGTGGGCACGCAGGCCCAAGAACTGGAACTGTCACCTTCATGCTGATTTACTGTGAGCACACAATGACAGCACCTTCCTTTTTAGCTATTGTGATGTGCATTCGACTCCTGTGCAGTGATACCGGGCGCTTTGCTTCTCTCCTTCCTCACTATGGGGTCATGCTAGGGTCGATGAGGAAGGTCACCCGGGGGTCTTGCCGCTGAAAGCAATAGCTTCGCTCTTTATTTCTGGCTTTGTGCGGAAAGGCGGCCACGCCCGGTATCTGGTGCATGCGTGTCTATGGTAGCTGGAGGAGGTCAGGCTACTGTACGGTGTTGCATTTCTCTCGTCCCCCCGAGTTTTACTCTTTGTGTGAGGTTTCATTGAAGTTGTCAAGGATTTACCCCGTTCTCATGCCCCTTAGTGTGTGTGTGTGTGTGTGTGTGTGTGTGTGTGTGTGTGTGTGTGTGGGAGGGAGGGTGGGTGGGTGGGAGGATAAAGTCAGAAGCTGAGAAAGAGAGAGACAGATACATAACAAGGAAGAAATGTAAACAGTGCGCTAATCCTGTATTATTAATATCTCAGTAAGTCATATGACCCAATCCAAAGTTAAAGGCCAATCCACAGCGATGAACAAAAAATACATTGGGAAAGAATCATTTTAGACTAGAACGAATATGACCATCATCATATCATCATACGTGACATATAAACACAAACCTTTCTGGGCACGGGCAGACACTTTTACAACTACTCAGTGTCCAGGGCAGACTGTCATGTCTCGGCCTGTACATAAACATGGCTGTCTCATAGGCGTCAGCAGGTTATTAATTCCAGTCATTAACAGCAGAGGTACCCAGCATGCTACTAGAAGTAAACACTGCTAATCCTTTGGATCCTGCACACTTGGGAAAGGTTATCAATCATGTGTCACGGTCAGATTAGCCAACATTAACATAGTGGCTCAGGAGCTGAGGAAGGCACGTTACTGTACGTTAAAAAGGTGTACGAGTGAGTGCGGTTTCTGAATCTTGCCTGTGGGTATGTGCATCAAAGGGAAAGGAAATATAGAACATTTAAAAAACTGCAATAAAACTAGAAGAGGCAGAAGGCAGGCAATCTGAGGCAGATTTATTTTAGTTTACGCAGCAAACTGCAGGTGCAAACTTTGTAAACTAGTTAACAGTGTTAATGTCAATTGTTTGCAGGTGAGATGTCGCATGACAGTTGCAGTTTAAGTTGAAATACTAAAAGCAGTTTAAGTGTCAGTTGAAGCTGAAGCTCTGACAGAGTTTAAGGTGTCTGTTGAGTGTAATTTCTAAAAGGATCTAAAATTTTAGTTTAAGGTTAAACGGGATATGTTGCCAATTTTGAACCAGCTTTGTATCATAACAGTGTGAATAGGATGTGTAAATGAACTGTGATAAACGTCTCTGCATCTGACCTGTGCCTAGATCTCTCTGCTCATGTCTTAGCTCAAATATGCGAAAAGCATCACCTGGTGGATTTTTGCTGGCTCTGGGGCTGTTGCTCGAACTACAGGTTGTACTTCTGTATTATCGTGTGGGCGCCACCATGGACACAAAGAGTATGGAAGCAGATCAATAGAGAAAGGCCTGCCTTTTTCTCTCAAACTTAGATCAAACAGTAAAACTAAGCAGTAAGATCAAATATAAACCAATATTCTGTTACCGTATTGCCTATTTCTCACCTAAATGTCATCAGAAACATTTTAGTGCTCTGTTTAGCTGTGATAGGAGAATTTGTGACCAGGAAGTATGCTGTTTCTTGTATTGTAAAAATTATGATGAAAGATGAGGTCAAACAGTGAAACTAAAGCTGAAAATACTCCGGCGCCGCTGTGGCGCATCACATTGCAGCTCGTTAACAAACAACCACACAAAGGTATTACCACTTTTACTTCAAGATCTGTACTTCTTCCACCTCTGCATTAGCTTAAAATCATGTGTGGAGCCTCTTATTACACTTGATTTCTCAGCTGAAGAGCTGATCTCCAGAGCTATGACTTTTTTTTTTTTTTTTAAGATTATTTTTGTGGGCTTTTTGCCTTTAATGGACAGAACAGTGTGTGAAATGGGGAGACAAAGAGAAAGTGGGGACTGACATGCAGCAAAGGGTCGCGGGCCGGACTTGAGCCCGCGGCCGCTGCGGTGAGGCAATGCCTCTGTACATGGGGTGCCAGCACTATCCACTACGCTGCTGATGCCCCTGCAATATCTCACAAGAAGTCTCTCATCATCAAGTCTTTGTCACACATGAGACAGTTCACTTTATGCATCCATAGGGAGGAGAGGAGTTGAGCTGCCACAGAAGCACTGAAAAAGAGATGCTATAGGAGCTGGTATATACAAGCAGAGAGAGAGCAGGGAAAAATGGATTTAATTCCGGGGGCTGCAAGGTTGGAAATAGGACAGTGGCGTTAAGTACCACTGGGTGGTGTTTCAAGGAGCACCGGTGTGGGGTTGTACATTGAAAATAATAGGGCTGTATTTTTTGATGCACTGCGTTTGCCACTGGTGTGTTTTGGCTTTAAGCAGTGCTGATAGAACATGAACCAAGATTCTGTTACTGCATTGCCAATGCATCTCCTAAAATGTTTTCAGAAACATATTTTAGCAAACTGTTTATTTGTATTTGAGATCATTTGTCACCAGTTGGCCCCCATATTGTTTCCTGTCTCAAAATGGATAAGCTTGCAATCCATCATCCACCAGCAGTTGTATATTGGTCTGGTGCAGCGCAGTACTTTTTCGTAGTTGTAGGTTTTCTACCTCTTGAGCAAAAGCAAATGCCACTGTCAGAAGTATTTGCCTCTTTCTACTGTATAGACAGCAGTTTTATGAAAAGTGTAAGACATTGAGTTGAAATGTCAGTTGAAGTGTAAATGATGACTGCATTTTTGTTAGTTAATTTCATTAGATTTAAGTTAAAGTTGCCCCACAGATAGTTTCAGTGTGTGCTGTGTAGATTACTTTCAGTTGCTATGTAAGCAGTGACAGCAGTTGAACTGTCAGTTGAAGAGTAAAAGTTAAATGAAGTGTCAGTTGATGTGTAGCGGCTGCAGGTGGATACAAGCGTGTTAAGTGTTACCCAGATGTCATGGAACTACAGATATTCAAATTTAAGGTTAAAGTGCTCAGAAAAAAAAATCTACAATCCCATGACAACTAGGACAACTTAAAGACCAGATGATATGAACAAAAGCCCCACAAAAACTAATAAATGGACCTTGTGGTGAGGTTTCTTTGCAAACATTTATTCTACTGAATAGATATTTTAATATGCATAGAAAGACAACCCTCATTTTTGCATGTTCTTGATAGAGTTCATGATTTGTGAACAAGTAGCTCCTTTCAGTCACAAACTGATACTGTAGGTGGGCCCACATTCTCACACAAAAGAATTTTTGCAGCATGTGGCATCTGTCTGTGTAAACTGAATACAAGACTAATCCCACAGTTTTAGTGTTTTGCTCCATTTTTCTTCCTAATGTACCCATTTCTACTTATCAGGTCAAAACAATCTTCCTCCGATGATCTGGTTTCCCTCTGTTTCTGTCAAACTGTACATCAGCTTAACAACCCCAAGGAAGTGACTGCAAACACGAAATAAACTGTTTAGGCCTCCGAGCGCATAGAGATAGCAGAGGGGATCATCACTCGTCAAGAGCGATGGCCCTCCCTCGCTCTGGTCACCATCAGTGTTTATTTAAAAGGTCTGCCTGTCATTGCGGTGAATTACAAGACAACAGTCGGAGATTAATATCTGGCGGATAAATTAGGCTTTTACCGTAAATAACTGGTTTGTTATTGCGGTGACCTATTACATAAATGGGAACTCAACCAAATGAGAAGAAAATATGGATGTTCCTCTCCGCAAGTTAGTGTCTGTGGGGATGTCAGCTTAGCTCCTTCATGGAAAGAATCCACTCACTGGCAGACCAGATTATCCTGAAACCAGACAGACTTGGAGGGAGTCACTTAAAACTTGAAATTAGTAAGGAGGTTGGATTTTAGATAGATGAATCTGCCCAGAGCAGGCTTTTAAACCAACACTGTTGCTGCATCACCTTCTCAAAAAAGGAGATGTGCACCAACTGCCAATGACTGACAATAAATAACCATGTAGCAACATCATTATTGGACTGAGTGACTTAAAATGAGACTATGAGTACATTTAGATGTGCTCGAGTATCCTGGTTATGATCAGGTTTTTGGAGTATCCTAGTTATCTGCTGCACATCTAAACATCATATCCTGATTTCAGGAAGGAGGATAAAGTATTAGTTAACTCAATTAATTGTATGTAGTAGGGCATTAACAGAAAAGTTGATTTGTCTACATGTCGACGTCAGTGGCAGTCAACAAGTCGTGTGTTTTTTCCCTCTCTCTGTGTATGCTTGTGTACAGAATGCAATCGCTGCCTCTGATTGGAGTGACAGACACACATCACATGTGTG